AAATGCTGTCCACTGCCAGATTTCCAAAACTGGTCATCTTATTGCACCTACTGATAAATTCGACAAGACCCAGAGTTTCTTATTGGATGATCACACAAGGCCCACACACACACACTGTATTCTTGAGAGCACTGTCAACACAAAGCATTACTACTCCCCCCACCCCACTGGCTTCTGTTGCCAAAAGAGAGCTTCCCCAACACCTCCCTGCTCTCCTCTCTCCTGCCCTAGCCTACATCTCTGGGCTGACTTTGTCCTTATGAATACCAACTTCTCTGATGCCTGTGGCCCTGGTGAATCCACCCCATTCCATCCTGCTGACAGCCACCCAGTAGGATGTTTACCATGTCCCCTGGCAGCATCCTAAAGGTGGATGGGTCCTTGAAGAGGGGTCCACTAGGACAGATCTTATTTTTCAGATGGGGGAAAAGGTATAAAATAAACATTTATCATTCCCATCTTCAGGAAATTCCCCACTCACATTTAACCCTTCTCTATTTGAGGAATGATAGTAGTTATCATTGGCTGAGAATTATCTATGGGCCTAACCAGAGTCTTTTCTGATAACTTCATTCAATTCTAACACCAGGAATCTTATAGATAAGGAACGGAGACACTGAGGGGCCAAGTTACTCGCCTGAGGTCACAGAGCAGCCGAGAGTCTCCCCACCAGGTCTGCAGGCCTTAAGCCCAGATCTGTGTTGCACCAAAGTCCGTGCTTTTTCAATCACTCCACCAGCCCTACTCTCCAACATGCAGGGTGATGGCCTGATAAACAGCTGCTGATTAATTAGTTAACGCTGCTGCCATTTGTTCTCCTTCCACAAGATAAACCCAGGCTTGTACCAGGCCTTGTGAGAAAGATGCCAGCTCATCCCCAGGAAGCCAGCCAGCCTTCTGGTGATGACTGATGCTGGGAACAAGGAGCTGGACATCTATGGGTGTCTGATGGCCACTTTAAAGCACTCAAGGAGAGGTAAAGAAAAAAAAAAAACAGGCTCCTATCCAATGCAATTTTTAAACCACTGATTCACCAGGCAGTACGGCATTGAAGTCAAAAGCACCTCAGCCACCACTGTGTTTGCAAGATTCTGCATTTACCAAAGCACCATTTACCAGCCCAACAGTCCCTGTGAGGCTAGTTGGGAGACGACACTCTGACAAGGTAGAGTAATCTTACCAGACGGGAACAGAAATTGAAGCAGTTCTATTTCTTTCAAATCCAGAATACAAAAGTCTAGCAACTGCAGGGTAGGAAGAGAAGCAGCTCCTCTTAAGCCTAGAATATTTCGAATTTTGCTTCCTGACCCCACAGTTTCTAGATCTGCTGGTTCCCGAGAGACGCACGCTCCCTCCAGGAGACACAACTATGGTTTCAGAAGACCAAAGCCCAGATGTCCCCTTGGCCATTTTGGATTATAAATGCTGCCCCATCATAAGGCAAAGAGAGCGGACTGCCATGCTTGTGTGTAGTGGGTGAATGATCCCAATTCCCCAGGGGAAACAGAATTTGTGCCACCAGGTCGGGAGCAGGGAAGGGTACACCTGCACCCAAGAGTCACTGGAGTATCTCTCGTTTCTTTCATGTCCAAGAGTAGCCATCAATGGAAAACTAATGCGACTGAGACTGGAAGAACCAGAGGATTTGGCTCCATAGATTCTTCTGCCAGGACCTAGACCCCCACACCCAGGGTCCCATGCAGAGGTGGCTGACATTATCCATATATGAGCCAGGCTAATCCTTCACCTCATTCCAACAATCCCATCTTAATATTCTATATCCTTCAGTCTGAACCAGGAAGATAACTCATGCCATCTAGAGAAACACCACGCCAGTTGGGACTTCATGTGTTGAGTGTAAGAAGAACAGTTGCACCAAGGCAGGAAGAAACAAAATGGTTTTGTTACGTGAAGTTACAAAGGTGAGGAGGGTGTGTGGAGGCTGTGAATCTGAAGGAGCGGGTTGTGTTGGTCGCTCAGCTGCTTCAGCTCCAAATCCACCCTTCTAAGTTCTGATGTGTGGAGAGGCCAAACTGCATTCCCCCCACATCCTATGAATGCCTACCAGGTTCCTGTAGGGGGAAGATAAGGGGGCAGGAGCTTCTCCTTCTGTTTCCAGCACTTCTTGCTGGTGCCATCTCCAACATCTATTGCTACCCTGGAAACCAGCCTCACCCAACTCCTCTGCACATACTCAGGAAGAATCCAGCAAAAGACATTGGTGAGCAAAAGACACTGCCGGGAAGGCTGTCAATGGAAGGGTTACATTCTGGGACTTCTGGCCACTGGCACAAATACATAAGGATAATGGTGACAAACTTCATTCAGAGGATCATCGTAGACTATCATCTACATGAAGTCTATGTACCTTTACAGAAAGCCAGTGTGCATGTTCAAGTTCTTAAAAATCATCCTGCAAAAAAAATGGAGTTTTTACATGAATCATTTCACCAAATCAGATACTCAACAAATGTTCCCGGCTTGGGAGGCCCCAAGGATTTAGCAGTGGACAAGGCCAAGTCACGCCCTTGTGGAGCTTACATTAGGGCTGGAGGACACCATAAATAACAAAATGATAACAGATCAAGATCTCAGATGACAAGTTGCATGGAGAAACTAAAGCAGGCAGAGCAGGGGTCAGGAACGAGGAGGGCAGAAGAGCGAATGTTTGGGACAGAGTAGGAAGAGGCAGAGGCTCTGAGATAGGAAGGAAGGAGCCCTAAAGAGACCCGAGACAAAGCCCTCCTAGCAGAGGGGCCTCAGGACACTATCACAGAGAAGTGCCCCAGGGTCACATGACATGGGGTCCTTGGAGCCACGCCACTGCCGAAGGAGGCTCTCTGAGCCAGGGATGCCATTAGCTGGCTTCCAGCAGTCCCCCAAGTCAGACACAGCTCAACGGCCGAGTTCACGTCCCCACTCCAAAATGCGGTTATTTTTCTTTACTTTCAATTTGCATCGCAAGCTGGAGAGAAATGAATTACATCCCCCTGGGTTTCTCTGTTCCGTACAATTAAGGAAAGCTATTTCTTAGTCACAAGGCGAATGACGACACCAAGATTTCCCATTTTCTCTCTGCAGGAAGGCTGTCATCACTCAATATTAATTGATCCTACTTTTCATCCATAAAGCAGGGTTGAAACAAATTTTTGGTCCCCAAAATGGCAACTATTACCCTGTTAAGGTAAATTATTAATGGCATCTCCATCAAAGCACACTCACGTTCACAGGGCATCAGCTGCTTCCATTCGCGCCGTGTTTCTTTAATGGGGAAAAATGAGTAAATTAGTACATTTCTTCCCCACACTGGATAAATCACCAGCGAGATCGTTTAAGGTTTGCCAGGGATTTTCCACCATTTCATCAAATCTAGGAACACACAGAAAGGGTGCAATGTGTCTTCAGCTCCCAGCAGGAGAGCCTGTCAATCGAATGCAATTTCATTTTCCTGCGAGAGAGACTGGATAAAGTGAAAACAGCAAGATGATGCAGGAAGCTCAAAAACTGAGGAGACCCATTGCTGTGTGTGTGTGTGTGTGTGTGTGTGTGTATTTTTTCCATAGACCAAAAAAAAAAAAAATGCTTATTTCTAGAGCAGGGAAACTGAATTAGAGGATCCTAGTTTTAAAAGAAAAGTGGGGGTCCTAGTTGTATGTATCTACAAGTGAATAGCCTACAGTGGACTGGGAACCTATGGGAAGCCAGCCCTCATTCCTACAGAGGGTGCTCACCAGACACTAGCATCCAGTGAAAAATAATTCTCAAACTCAAGAGAGGGCTTTGCTGTCCACTCCTTCCAATCCCTTTTGGGTCATTTATTTACATGAGTGCTGGGGCCTTGTGAAAGGCTAACCACAGGCCATTTGCATTTCATCAATATGTTTAAATGTCACGACTCTTGACTTGTACAGCTGGAAACCAGGCTTAGCCACTCACAACCAGGCTGCTGAAAAATTGTGGTCCAAGCAGAAGGCATTTCTTGAACTATAATTTAGTTTTGAGAAAAGATGAGCTCTGTGCACCAGAGCTGTGGCATGAAATTAGAGATCTATGGATGTGTCTCCATGGCGTCAAGGAAATGACAAGGGTGGAAAAGTGAACAGTCACTTGCTTCCAGACTAGCAGGGGGAGGGAAAAAAAAAAAAATCACCGTGGAGATCACTCCTGTTAATGGCCTTGAAGGACCAGTGCATCTCTCCCTGGGTACTGCTAAGGACTCCTCTGGAAACTGCCCTACCAAACAGAAGCCACCTGGTGTGGGAGTTTAAGAGACTTGAAAGGGGGAGGGGAACTACTGATATTACCCTTTCTTTATTCTCATTGTGGCAGAAAGTTAAAACCCATTTCTACCCTTTATTCTAGCTACTTTTCCTGGAAGAAAAAATAATCCCTATATTTCCCATTTACAGATGGGGCAATAGGAACTGAGGTTAAGTGACTTTCCCAAGGTAACACAGCTAATAAATGGCACAGCCAGAATTTAAACCCTGTATTTCTGACAATTCCACAGGCCACCTTTCATAGGGTGGAGATATTTGTAACATAAACTGCCTGTGTTAATACATACATAATGATGTATAACAAATTACCATAAAACTCACATTTATTATCTCAGTTTTTTTGAGTCAGAAATCCAGGTGCAGCTTGGCTGGGTGCCTCTGGATCAAGACCTCTCAGAAGGCTGCCTCAGGTATCATCCAGGGCCGACATCACCTCTAGGCTCCCTTGGGGTAGATCACTTCCAAACTCATACACATGGTTGTTGGCAGGATTCAGTTTCCCCGGGGGCTGCTGGACTGAGGGCCCTATTTCCTCAGAGGCTGTTAGCAAGTCTCTCAGTTCCCTCCCAGATGAGCCTCTCCAGGGTACAATGAATGGTGGCTGCATCCCTCAGAGAGAGTGAGAAAGAGTGCAAAAGTCCAAGATGGAAGCTGCAGTCTTTTTTGTAACCCAATCTCAGAAGTGACAACCCATCATTTTCCCTCTATTCTATTCACTAGGAGAACGTCTCTAGGTCCAGCCCACACTGGACCACACTGGACTGTGGAAGGGATCCTACAGGTCATGAATACCAGGAGGCTGGGATCATCTCCACGGACACCCACCAATATTACAACAAGCAGAGAAGTTGAATCTAAAGTTGGTTTCCTCCCCTCAGTTACCTTGGTTCCCAACTCCAAGTTCAGTACAGAACTCCAACATTCCTTGTGAGAAAAAAAAAATCCTTGATTGGCTCACCTCCCTGCGATGCCAATTTCCAACAACTGCTTTAAAGTTCTCTTTTTGATTTTAGTTTTTTCTGTCTAATCCATTTATATGAAGTTCACAGTAAGAAACTACTGAGTAGAAATGGAAGTTATTGCTTTTTTTTTTTTTTGATTTTTTTAATATTTATTTTTTAGTTTTAGGCGGGACACAACATCTTTGTTGGTATGTGGTGCTGAGGATCGAACCCGGGCCGCACGCATGCCAGGCGAGCGCGCTACCGCTTGAGCCACATCCCCAGCCCGCTTTTTTTTTTTTTTTAAACAGTTTACAGATTGGTAAGAAATGAGACAAGAAGAGAAGAAGTTGGGCCACCAGTTTGGGGAATAAAGCAAGGCAATGCAGAAAAATCTCAAATGACTTTCTCTCCATTCCTAGTGCATCTTTCCAGCATCATCTCAGCCTGTTAGGAGAAGATGCAGCAACTTTTAACAAGCTTCATCCCACTCTGACCCAGAAGACCATTTCTCACCCAGGAAGCTATCATGGACAGAAGATGCAGGGGTTCATCCCCAGGACACCTTTGAGGCACTGTTGGAGACTCTGAAGTCTCCAACAGCTCAGCCTGTCAACATCAGCAGCCAACCCAGGAAGCTGGTCTGAGACACTAACATAGGGGTTTTCTCAACTACAGCTGGGTGGACCCAAAGATGAGACCTGACTTAGGATTGCCATATACCAAACAGCAGACAAATCTCCAGGCATGAAGGGCCCACCAGGTCAAAGATAAGTGATGCAAGTCAAAACAAATGCTTCTCCAACAGAACAGAACCATCAAGGGCTATGCCCAAACTAGGCTAGTTTCAAAACACACTCACTCTAGAATTCAGTGGAATGTTTTAGACTCCTTTTCCTACACTGGGAGACCTCATTGTCTTATTCACCACTGTATGCACAACACAGCCTGAGAAGAGGTCATCAGTAAATAGTCAATTAATATTGGATGACCATATCAGACAAGACTGCTTCCTCCATTAAACCAAATCCACCCAAAAAGCTACCAGGAATACCTGACCCATCCTATGTCAAAAGCCACACTGATTCCTCATGGCCCCATGTGGCGTTCATGCCTACAAACCAAGTTTAAACCATGATGCCCAAATGAAATAATCCCCTTCCTCTTAACAGGACCCAAGGAGGCCTCCTGATAAAAATCATATAACCTGAAAAGCACACTCTTACAAGAATGGGGGTGGGCGGGGGAATCAGCTGCTAAATATAGAAAGTACTCCTTGCCTGCATAACCTTTATTTATCAGAAGATCTGAGTTTTAAACAAAGAACAGCATATCTGAAACACAGAACCCAGGAAATGACTTTCTAGACTTAAGGACAGCGACATGCACCTTAAGGCCAGACTTGCCCACCTTTATGCACCAAAATTGCCCTCAAAAATAGTCCAAAGATAAAATTCAAAAAGTCTCCCTTCCTCTGAAAGGACAGAGAAATCTGCTCAAAGTCTAAAATGATTCTGGACCCCAGTGAAATGGGATAAAAACCTCTTGATACAAATTCTCTGAAGCGATATTGATAATAATCATTAGTAGGATGCATAGAACATTAACTCATTTTCTGTTCCACTTTAACCAAATTAGATTAAAAAATTATTACCACTTTCACAGGGCTGCTTTTATGAATCCCTGCAGAAAAATAATTTCGTTTTGCTTTGACAGATAACGGCCATCACTAGGGAATTTCATTTTACTGAAGACAGCCTTAAGTCACTGAAATTTACTACTTGGGTTACACACACACACACACACACACACACACAAACCCTGATCCCATTTTTACACAAGACTGAATGTTGTTTCTTGGGTCTGGATTTCAAGTGGCTGGGAAAAGAGCATGAAGAGTTTTTACATTAAGAAAGGAATGTAAAGAATGCCAGACTTCCTTAAATCTTATCTTACTACCCCCATTAGTGTGTATGTAACAATAACATTAGTGCTAACAGCAGACTCAGTTGCAACATCAAAAGCAAGCATAGAGAAGATGCATACAGCAGCTCTGCTCAGAAAGGTTTAAAGTCACGTCACTCATACTATCTCATTCATCTTACAAATCCCTGCAAACTGAACAAGCACACTTATCTGCTGTGAGACAAGTCTTATGGGAACCGATTTCCTTGCCACTCTTCGCATATTCTGTTTAAAAACAGGGCCTGTTTTTAGCACACCTCCCAACAGTGCCTCAACCCATAACTCATGCCACTGACTTCCTTGCATGAGCCTTAAAAAAAAAAAAAAAAAAACCCCTTCGTAATTATAGAAGCCGGAAACAAAAAATGAAACCCAGGTAGGAAACTGAGCAAGTTCATGGCACCCAACAATTGCTTTTGCCCAAACTGAAATTAAATAAATATACACATGTACACTCTCCATGAAAACGCTGCTGCGCAGTTTATTAATGAACAGTGAAAGGAAACAGAAGCCGAAAGTGGGTCAGAAGAAACTGTTTAATCTAATAGTCTGGAAATTATACTGGAGGGAACAGATGGTTTCACAGAAGTCGATGCTACCTAAGGACCAAAGAGCAATTTTCTAGGAAAGAAAAATGCTTCCTTACCCTACTGCACATACTGTTTTCCAGCAAAGGAGGAGTCTATATTCAACACAGGACAAACCCAGCTTGGCATGTTTACAGAACTAAGTGGCAGCCATCCACATGCCCAAGATCACAAGAGGCCTTCTCAATCTGAGCTAGAGGTCAAACGTGGCCCTCTTGTGCAAACAGCAAAGGGAAACCAACACGATATTCCAGCAGGTTATTAACCAACATTCACAACCTTCGTAGTAAGAAAAAGTGACCTTCAATGTGGCTTGCAATTCCCACACACTCTGGACCACAGTGAGACATATAGGCCGCTTGGAGATAAAAGGCCTTCGTGTAAGATGTGGTTGCATAAGGCAGGACCACCCAGCCACTGCACCTCCCTGTTCATCAAGCAGAGTTAAACACAGCAATCACCTCCAGAGCTGTAAGGACCAAGTAAAGTAGATAAAGCTGGGCTGCCAACCACACAGTCAGGGACGACATTCAGGTGATATTCATATCCCATTACCTTGTTTTATTTTGTGGTGCTGGGCTTCACCACCTTTGATTCACTAAAACATAGGAAAGTTCTCACTAACAGGGCACAATCCAAAGGAGATCTGTCACAGCTGGGAGGCTTCAAATGACAGATAAGAAGCACTCAAATCTCAAAGCCATCATCTGTGAGACCTTTGATACTGTCCACATTGCTTAAGAGGAAAAGATTTAAAAGTAGCGAGTCTGACTGCATACTTGAGGTAGGATCATGGATATATGCTGGGTCACCGCAATGACCCTTGTTTCCTCATTTGTAAAAATCAGGATCCTTATGGGTATTAATTTACACCAAGCATGGTGGGTGGAGCCTCTGCTCTCATAACTATTAACACCAACAACATCACTAAGCCTGTGGTCCCCTCACAGTGGGTCATCTGGAGGTGTCTCCTGCAAGGCCAGAGGCCACAGTGGCAGAACAGCCTTTGTACCATTAAGATGACAGGCTGAGACACCCAGTTCTTAAGCTCCAGGATGAGCTTAAGAACTGGGTGTTAGCTGGGCGTGGTGGTGCACGCTTGTAATCCCAGAGGCTCGGGAGGCTGAGGCAAGAGGATCGCAAGTTCAAAGCCAACCTCAATGAAATCAAGGCACTAAGCAACTCAGTGAGATCTTGTCTCTAAATAAAATACAAAATAGGGCTGGGAATGTGGCTCAGTGGTCGAGTGCTCCTGATTTCAATTCCCTGAAACCCTTCCCCCCCAAAAAAATTTGGAGGATATAAAAAGTCAATGCCCCCAACTCAGACATGGGGCCTCCTACTTTCTGCCATAATGTCAAAGGAAGCTTTGGGCCTTCCTCCTATCCTCCCACCTTCCCTCCTCCCTGGCTTCTAATATCTTGCCATAAGGTTCGTGGTTGTTTTTAACCTACGGGGACGGGGGGCACAAAATGCTATCAATGTCAGAGACTTGCTCCATTCTGAGAAGCTGCAAATGTTATAGATGAATTTGTCATGTTCTGAAGTGGCAAGATATCGTATTTAGAGAGAGATAATAAATACCTCATTAAGGGATGGCAAAACAAACACTTCAGGGTCCTTGAGGCTCTATCTAAAGGAACCCCATGGTGAAACCCACTTTAAACCAAGAATCCTCTTGTGAAGCAAAGAGCTACACAGCCCCCAGCGACCCCCCCCCTCCCAATATTTTCCCCCCTCCCTTTCCATGGTTTCCTAGGTGGGGCTTTCTTCCCAGTGAGGACTTCATGCATGCAAGGCAAGCACTCTACACCTGCAGCTAGATCTCAGTGCTAACAACTGTACCCATATCATTTAAGGTTTTAAGCATGATGTATCAGGGCGTTGTCAGCACTCTACCTCTGAGCTACATCCCCAGCCCACTCCTATCCATTTTACCTTCCTTTCTCAAAAGTCCACCCGACCCAGTAACCATTCCTATTCCTCTGCTTTGCCATACCCTTTCTCCACCACATGCCCCCAAGGTGAATACTATTCCTCCTTCTCCTTCAAGATCCAGGGCTAAAAGTCCCATAGGAGCCCTTCCCTAAAAATCCCAGCCTTTGGGGCAGTGCATCTGCATGAACAGCTCATTATTAGACCACTGATGGTACCAGACCTCCCCCAGCTTATGCCATATCACATACTCACACAATGCATCAGAAAGACTGGGCTTCTCGGGACCAGAGGCAAATCGCAGAAGGTTCAAGCAGATCTAAAGGGAAACAAAATCTCTACCCACTGGCGCTCTCCTGAAGGTCATTTATTGGGATGCCCACGTTCATATTAACAACCACGTGGGACTTAACACGTGCCTGCTCACTTGTTAGCAAACTCAGCTGCTCATTGGCATCACCTGTAGTTTCAAAAGTACTGACATCTGGGTCCATTCCTCAAGACTGACTTAATGGGCCTGGCAGGCCAATTCCTATTCCTGGGCATAG